TTTAATTACTGCTTTATACTTGAAGGATATGGTCGATCGTTGAATCTGATTTCAATAAAATTGTGCGAATGTGTTATAAGAAGTCTACATTTTAGAATTACTATTGAATTAAATTGATTTATAATGATATATCTTTCGATTAGAGTGTCGGGATGAAAGCCTCTAATTGAGTTATAAAATTGAATAATTGACGTGAATGATCCGATCCAGTTGAGGGAATTCCGACGTTTCACTACCCCCAATTATTGATTTTAACTTTACTACTTCAACATTAAAGTTATTACAAATTTAAGAGGACAAATTCATTCTTTTTGGAATCTTTACATATTTTTCAAATTCCCTGAGGATACGACATTCCAAAATTGCATTATAACTACAGCGTTATTTTTTAGGCGTAATCAAGTGTCAACAGTTGGCCCTTTAAGCAAAATAGTCAAAAGATAACCCATTTTCACTTTTAGCATTGTGAGATGGCTAATAAAATCATCTTATTTCGCATATTATTTCCTATTTTATTCATTCCTATTGTCTTGCTCAAATGTTACAACATTCAAAGGATATTTCTTAAATTTTTTAGGCGATTTCCTAGCTTTGGTCGAATCTACTTGCACGTTTGCACTACCGTATCGATGAAATTAATTTTACAGCGTTCAATTGTGCGCTAGACTATTTCTATGGAGAAGCTCGTTACTGAGAACACCTAGGTTAGCTGTGAAAAATGTTCGCCCTATTAATTATCTCGTTCCCAAGTGAAAGAGTTCAGCTACAACAACAGTTCTAAGAGTTCATTTACTTGTGTAACTTTAGCAAACACTACACTAGGAGAGATAAAATATTGAATGGTTTTTCTTGTCAAATTTGTTGGGTTGCATGTTTGTACATTGGAGTAAGGGCCAGTTTGGCAAGGCGTTTACTTTTGCTTCTGTTTCTTACTCTTATAAAAGAGTTTTCCAAAAAAGTTATCTTAGGACAGTTTCCTTTGAAAGATTAATGACACAACACTTCTAAAAAATTATCTAAATATATTCAAAAACATATTATTTTTCTCAGAAACACAAACGTCATGTCAAACGAGCCCTAAATATGTCTTGTGGATCGAGTCAAGCCATTTTTGGGTTCCTAAAGATTTTGCAAACATGAAGGCTAGGCTATTGATGTGGTGAAGGAGGTCAAAGGGGTGTGCATCCACCTTTCATTGGTTTTTCAGGAGGGCTTTGAGCCATTGGTTGACCCCTATTTTCTAAAATTTCATTTTCAATCACATATTATATGGAATTCACGTATTTTATCAATTTTTATCCAAAAAAAATTCTAAAAATCTGATTTTTAACTAAACCAATCGAGGATATGCCGAGAAAACTGCAAAATGTTTTCTTATTGGACATCATCAAGAAAATTCATTATGTTTAATGAAAAATATCATTGTTTTTAATGAATCTTTAGAACTTTTGACATTACGTAAGTATCGTAATCTGCACAGTTTGCCTTTCCGGGTGGATCAATTGATGGTTAAAGTTTGTCTTTGATGTCTAGAACAAGCTGTATCGATCAAGTTCAAGATGATCAGTGCATGTTTGGCAAAGCGTAGAAAATTTCTGTAAGATACTTATTTTAAGTAATCTCAAAATAAGTAACTTCTTTTACTCATTTATTTTAGATGTGCTTTAACCATACGAGATCCATCCGTAAATTTTCAAAGTAACAAATAAATCACACTTAAAATAATTAAGTACACATTAAAAAAATAAATAAAAAGTTCATCTTCTCCAACCAAGATACCCACCCCTCCTAATTAACACCAATCGACGGCCAAACACCACCTCCTTAAATACAATTACGCCAGTAACTGCATCACTAAAAACTTAGAAAAATTATTTCAGAAAGAAATACAAAATAATGAAAAATATCGGAATTCAAATGCTTGTTTAAATTAAAATTAATTCGTAAAAATATTGCACGGTTCTGTATTTAAATTAGGTATGAACAAATGATAAAACCAATTTTGGAGACTTGCTGTAACATAGCTCAGTTCATATTTCCTCGATTAATTTGTGTACCAAATTTAAATACGTAAAAGCTTCTAAATATTTATTTGACAACTCGACTATTTAGGTCTACGTGACTTCTAAACCACTGACGGATCTGGGAGGCCCATTGAATTTTTTTTAGTTGAAAATTTTCTTTTTTTTATTTAAAAAAAAAATTCTTGTGTAATTTTTTTTTTTTTTCGTATTAGCCTGACTTGTAATCCGTTCCTGGATTCGTCCCTGTTCTGAACACTTCAAGAGACACATGGAAGAACTCAACAAATGACATAATTCGAAGAGACTTTTGACTTCAGAACACAAAAATCTAAATTGACTCATTTAAATTGCATCAGATTTCCAATTTCCAATAAATAGGAGCATGCATGGGGTGGGCTTATTTCATGCTTATAAATATGAGAGAGAAAAAATAGTCATTGAGATGTGAAGAAACTCTTATGCTTTATCTTATCATTTCACAGATAAAGATTGATAATCATCCGAATTCTTGAAAGTGATCATAGTAAACTTGTATATGTATATATTCATATTCAGATAGTAAATCTGAGAGTCGAGACCAAGAATGACATTTGAAATAATGCAAATGCTTTGTTTTAGATTTTTACTGTGTTTTTTACTGGTTGGATCAGTTGTTACAGCATGGAATGAACAAATTTCTGCTATTGGTGATCCTGGGATGAGAAGAGATGGTCTAAGAGTAGCCATCGAGGCATGGAATCAATGTAATGAAGTTCATAAAGAACTTCCCCAGATGGGCAGTCCCAGGCAGGCAGATTGCTTCGACATCTACAATTCTTCGTCTCATCGTAAGTCTTCGTACCTCTGTTCTGTACACTATTTCCCTCGATCGACTGTGAATTTTTTCTTACTACGAAGCTCTCGTACTGAGAGTGAACCATTGTAAATTTTTGTGTGTGATGTGTCTTGCAGTGAAGTTGGTACATAAGGTGAATGAGAAGTATAATAAGCTGGGAATAGCAAATGCTAAAAGGCAGGGATTAAAGAACATAAATGTTAATCAATATGCAGCATGGAAAGAGAGATTCTTAGGGTACAAGTGTCAAGTTCAAGACAAACCTAACCCATGGCAGTTCTGGATGATAATGCTGAAGAGTGGCAATATGGATACCCAAGCTGCTATATGCCCGGAAAACGGCAAGAAATCGAAACCATTTCCACCCGAGTCTCGATTCCCTTGCTTCGGAAAAGGCTGTATGAACATGCCAAGAATGTACCACGATTACACACAAGTGCACCATAATCGAGGGGTACGAAGTCTAAGGGGAAGATTTTATGGAACTTGGGATTTGGATGCTGATATTAGTACAGCATCGAGTACAAATAATACTTCATATTATTCAGTTACTTGGAAGAAAGTTGTAGGAAAGGGAAGTTGGATTTTTCATCATTTCTTGAAGACATCACCAAATTACCCATGGCTAATGCTTTACTTGAGATCAGATGCCACAAGAGGATTCTCAGGAGGGTATCATTATCAAACAAGAGGGATGTCCAAAATTGTAAGTTTTTTTGGATAAAATTCATTATAATATGCAAATTTCGGCTTAGTTTTTGATCATTTTTTTGCTAATCTAAGGTGCCAAAATCGCCGAATTTCAAAGTGAAATTCAGATTGGATATAAAGAAAGGAGGAGGTCCAAATAGCCAATTCTACCTAATGGACATTGGTAGTTGTTGGAAGAACAATGGCAAGCCATGTGATGGGGATGTGACTTCAGACGTAACGCGATACAGTGAAATGATCATAAATCCCGATGCCACACCATGGTGTAACTCGACCAATAATCTCCGGTTGTGCCCTCCTTACCACACTTTCGCCAATGGTACTCGAGTCCATCGTAACAACACGATGCATTTTCCTTACGATGCTTATCACGTGTATTGCTCGCCGGGCAATGGGAAGTATTTGGAAGAACCATTTAACTATTGTGATGCTTATAGCAATCCACAGCCTCAAGAAATTCTGCAAATTTTACCTCATCCTGTTTGGGGAGAATATGGGTATCCCACAAAAAAGGGTGAAGGCTGGATTGGTGATGGAAGAAGTTGGGAACTTGATGTTGGGAGACTCTCTCAATCACTTTACTTCTATCAGGTATATACTCGAGTTTTCATAAACTAAGCTTTATTTTCAATAAATTTGAGGTCGACTCTCACGAGTTTTTTTCGAGTTTTTTGAAGGTGTCTATTTTGTGGCAATGCAGGATCCAGGGACTAAACCTGTGGAGAGACATTGGACATCAATTGACTTGGGAACTGAGATATATGTTAGTGGCAATGAAGTTGCAGAATGGACTGTTAGCCACTTTGACATTATTGTACCAGAGAAATATTAGTGACTTGTTATCACATTAGTTATTATTATTCTTTTTCATGATAAAATCTTGTCTAAAGTTTTTATAGTTTATGGTTTAGGTTTAATATTTTCTTTTAAATACTTTATTTTAATGATTAAATAATACGATCGTATCACTTTAATTTTTTTTCTTTTTACGTCCCTCTAAAAGTTTGATCGAGTAAGAATTTTAGTACTCCTAAATTCTATAATATAAGAACTCTCGACTACACTAGGATAAGATGTAATGTTTAATCGATAGAATTAGGATCCGTTTGTCAGAGCGGGAAGTAAAGCTTTTATTAGAAAGTTGTTGGGTGTTTGATTGCATTTTTATAAAAATTCATGTTTATTTGACTAAACATTAATTAATTACAACATATCTCATAAATATTTCTTACATACATAATATTTATTTTATATTCTATAAATTGTATTAAAAGTAACATTTTATTTAAATTATAATATATTTCTTCTTTCATAAAGTAATCATTTCACACGCCAAAGTATTTCTTCTTTAATAATATTTAACACAACTTTATATAATATTCATGCTTTTGAAAGCAACAACATAAAGAATGATTCAAGATTTTGCCAAGAAATGATTAACAACATAAAATGTGGCTGCTTTTATCTGGTCGAAGCGCTGTTAAATTACAACTTTGGTCATGAAATTGTTGAATCTTGGAACTAATTTTCAAATACATTTAAGGCCGATTTGATTTGCCTTTCTTTTTCATGGAAAATGGAAATTAAAATTCATTTCCACATTTTTGCATGTTTGATTGACTAAATTTTTCATGAAATTGATTTTCCGCATTTTATTGGTTTTTGAGGAAAAGCTTTTCTATGAACTTTTTAATTTGGCAATGGAAATAAATTTTATCCCCAATTATAACAAATTATATCCCTTTAATGAACAATTTTCATGAAAAACAAAGTCTAAAGAACGCCAAAAGATCCAAAATTTCAATATTTTCCAGGTCAAAAATCATACCAATCAAATACAATTAATTGACAATTCTCAATAAAACAAGTTTTAGGCAATTCAATTCCTTGAAATTCATTTTCTTTTTACCCAATTTCATTATTGCAATCAAACGGACCCTAAGAAATTTATAATCTTTCCCCGTGCATCAAGAAAGTAACATAAAACCCGAGAAGAAAATAAAGTGAAATAAAGTCACGAGAAGTATAAAAGTAGGTAGGGTCACGAGAGGCATAAACGTAGGTAGGGTCGCGCGCGAGCGTGTGTGTATATATATATATATATATTGTGATGGGTGTCACTCTCCATATTCATAGCCCATACGAGATGACCTATTAGGTCTTGACATAGACCTTACACCCACTATCCATATTGAACCTTGTATTTTGTTGCGTGACTCGCATATCTCATCTATCTTACTTTGCCCATGTTTGGATAAGCTTATAAGTTGCTTATAACCCCCTTATAATACACTCCATTTGTCCCATAAAGATAGTCATACCTTTTTTTTTTCGTCAATCCTAAATTATAGTCTCGTTTCTTATTTGAAAGTGTGGTTAATATATTAGTTTCTTAATATACCCCCATTTCATGTGATTTGTTATCACAAATATAAACCAATTAATTAGAAATGATTTTATGCACACAATGGGAAATCTTATCTTCCCCACTTGAAGAGAACATTACTTACGGTGGGCAGGAGAGCAATTTCAATCGATCAATCAATTATTCAATTGTAGTTTGAACAATAAATTAAAAATCAAAACAACATTTCATCTTCCATGACATTTATTCATCTGTATTTGTATTGGATAACTTTGGAATGTTAATTACCTTGATTCTTGCATTAAACAATGACTACTATCAAGAATAATTTAATTACTTTGAATATTGGATGCATAATTTAATTATCTTGAATATTGATTACATTAATATAGGGATATACAAGAAAAAATGATGGTAAAATTTATTTATTTATTACACTTGCATCAAGTTGTAATATACTTGCAATTTAAGGTGGAAGCAAGAAAATAAGGGAGTCGCCACAATTTTCTTGATCATGTCGCTCTCCATACTTACTTGCACTCCAGACAATCTGGCCTGCATAGACTTGAGGTAGACCTTCACAAGTTACACTGTACCCTGCAATTTGTTATACAAAACATGTCCAACCCAACCTGATCTAACATGTTTTATACCCTCTAAATCTGCCTTGCGAAAGAGTTCTCTTTTTTCCTTTTTCTTTGCTTCTTTTGGAAAAAATAGTTCTACATCCTTTTATTTTACTGCATCATCAGTTGTAATATGCTCACCGTTTAAGGATAAGAAAATGAAAAAAAGTTGCCACAGATTTCTTGATCGTTATGGTTGTCACTCTCCATGCGTACAGTCCACATGTTTTTATAAGGTTGGCAATACTTGTGAGTTTTGCAGATTATTAGGAATACGTGTAGACAAAATGTTCATCTTAGCTCAACACAAATCTCAAAAAATTAATATATGCACAGAGAGAGAGAGAGAGAGAGAGAGAGAGAGAGAGAGAGAGAGAGAGATTGTTTTATAGTACTCTAAATTAAGTGATATTAATGATGTTGCTGCAAAAACTTTTCTGTGGGCTAGTTTTAGTCTCAATTTGTGCAGTACATGAATGCTTTGTTTCTGCGCAAACATCTGCAGTAGGCGATCCTGGCATGAGAAGAGATGGGCTTAGAGTGGCTATCGAGGCATGGAATCAATGCAATGAGGTTGGTGAAGAAGCTCCAAATATGGGAAGTCCAAGATGTGCAGATTGCTTTGACCTCTACAATTCTACATCACCTAGTGAGTGTTTTTATATCTGTTATACGTATAATCAATGCTTAACTGCACACCAATACGAAGCTTCCTTAATTCACTTTTATCGTGTTCTTGGTGCACTTGACTCTAGCACAAGCGATAAATTTTGTTACATTAGGCCTTTGTGATATCCCATATCGGAAAAGGATTTATTATATTGTTGCACGAAGAATGGTTATTATTTAGCCATCCTCAATGTGCACCCACGTATAGGAGCCTCTTTTGTTGATCAAAGTACCCTAATTTGTGAGATTATCTTGTGATTTGACTTGGAAATCTTCTGTAGGCTCACTTGGTGCTTTGCGTACTATGTATTGTATTATCCCCTATTATAATATGTCTGTTCTAGAGGGTATCGGTTTAACTACTTTGAAGTTTGAACACATGTATTCTTCAATGGTATTAGTGGAACTTATATTGTCTACATCCATGGACGTAGGTCTCCTGTCAAACAACGTTAGTTCCACTTGTTCATTCTCTCTTCTATATTTTGCTCAAAACCTATTATTCCTACTTTTGCACAACATGCGTCTCTTCCTTAACCTCGTTCTTGAGTCCATTGGACCAAACATGTCACTAATGCACTCAACCCACAACTTTCTAAGTTTCTTTTGTTCATATCATCTTCGAAAAACAGTCAGGCTAGTTCACAGGGTGACTGAGAGAGACAACAAGCTTGGCATATCGAACGCAACATCCAGAGGAAGAAGAGGACCTCTTGATGTGAACCAATATGCGGCATGGAAGCAGATATATTTGGGCACTAAATGTCAAGTTCAAGGCAAGCCAAAGCCATGGCAGTTTTGGATGATAATGCTGAAGAGTGGAAACATGGATACATTAGCTGCTATTTGCCCTAACAACGGAAGAAAAGCCTATCCCTTCAAATCTGATTCTGTATTCCCATGCTTCGGAAAAGGGTGCATGAATATGCCATTGATCTACCACGACTATACGACTGTGTATGAAGATCATGGAAGCAAAAAACTGAGGGGGAGCTTTTATGGAACATGGGATTTGGATAATGCTGCTAGTGTTACAAAAGAACTCATCACACAGAATGATTCTTCATATTATGAAGTGATTTGGGAGAAAGAAGTTGGAAAACGGAGCTGGGAATTTCATCATATCCTCAAGACATCTTTAAAGTACCCATGGCTGATGCTATACCTAAGGGCAGATGCTGCAACAGGGTTCTCTGGTGGATATCACTATCAAACAAGAGGAATAATGAAAACAGTACGATAATATGTGCATTGAATCGCCCATCAAAAAGCTTAAGTTGTTTTCAGCATGTTCACTCACTGCAGATTGCATTCAATTTTATTTTTATTTTTTTAACCCAAAGTTGACAAGTGCATAATTTACAATAAAAACATGAAAAGGCTTGAATTCATAACCTTTGACTTCTTTGATACCTTGTTGAACTGCCTCATATAGAAGTCATAGCCATGGATCAAATTGCAAATGAATTGCACTAACTTTTCTCCCTCCATCACACACACACATATGATCTAAGCACCGATGACGAGGAACCAATTAATGGTGTGCCACATCATTGGTGCTTATTTAGTGTGTGAGTGTGTGTGTGTGTCATCTTTGTTTTTTGCGTTACTGACCATTTTTCTCCCTAAATGTTCCCAAAGATTCCCAAGTCGCCAAAATTCACAGTAAAATTCACATTAGAAATAAAGCGAGGAGGGGGTCCAGGAAGCCAGTTCTACCTAATGGACATCGGCAGCTGCTGGAAGAATAACGGGCAGCCTTGCAACGGGGATGTGACAACAGATGTTACACGATACAGTGAGATGATTATTAATCCTAGCATAGACTCGTGGTGCAAACTGACTAGTCTGCAGTCCTGCCCTCCGTACCATACCCTTCCCAATGGAACTCGTATTCATCGCTCAGATGAAGAAAATTTTCCTTACGAGGCTTACCATGTGTATTGTACTCCTGGCAATGCTCAACACCCTGAGGAGCCTCATAACTTTTGTGATCCCTATAGTAATCCTCAACCTCAAGAGATACTGCAAATTTTACCCCATCCAGTTTGGCGAGAGTATGGATATCCTACAAAGAAGGGTGAAGGCTGGATTGGTGATCCCAAAACCTGGGAACTTGATGTTGGGAAGCTTTCACAAGCACTTTATTTCTACCAGGTATGAACCTTAGTTTTTCAGTTTTTTCTTCAATCTACCCAATAATGGAAACCAATATTGTCAGAAAAGAAAAAAGTAAAGTGCATTCTATTGATTCACTCTTGACGTGAGAGCTACGTCACCTTCCCGTTGTAGGTATTCACTATAAAGGAGGAGAAGATTGACAGGTCTCACAAGCTCAAAACTGACACCTGAACCCCTTTACTTAGTAAAGAATATTAGGGCAACCTAATATGAAAAAAAATATTTCCTTAACAGTATTTCATACCTTTGATGTACCAGGATCCAGGAACTGCACCAGCAGACAGATATTGGTCTTCCATTGATTTAGGAACTGAGATATTCAGGTCTGATAACCAAGTTGCTGAATGGACTGTTAGTGACTTCGATATCATTGTTCCAAATTGTCATGACTCACCAAAACCAATACCACCTCCTCTTTTCAATCTGAATTCTCTATTTTCTTCTCTAAATCTGTCCCTCCTTCCTTTATTCACATTTCCCTGCATTACAATTTTTCTTTGCTGTTTATATTTCGTTGTTTCATTGTAATTCAGTTCAATCAATCAAGTTTTACAGGTTGGGTTATTAATCCCCAGCTGAATTGCATTATTTTGTGTTGAATTGGTGTTAAATTTAGGTCCCCCCAACCATAATTTCTTGGCATTTAGGCCCCCCAGCCGTAGCACTGGTCCCCACTCTCGGATTACATTCATTTTACTTTTGAAATGTTATGCACAATGAGCGTGGGAAGAGATTTTGGTTGGAAATATCGTTATATCCACATTTTAGTTAAAGAAAAAAGAGACCCTGGTTCCATCACCTCTCTTCCACCCCTATGATCAAATGCCATTCGAGATGGAGAGCAAAGGGGTGGGGGTGCAGAATGGAGGGAAACAGACAGCAATATTAATAGCATAGAAGCAAACAGCTAGAGTGTCACCCCGAAAATTTTATAGAATAAAATTTTATTTGGTCTATATGCTATATATTTAAATTTTGAAATTGGTGGACTAAAGTGATATTTATGTTAATTCAACTTTATTTGGGTTAGATACTTAGTTTTCTATAGAACTGGAATTAGTATATCAATATTATACTCGTTGGATAGCTCGTAATTAATTATACATCTTAGACTCGAGAAAAATTTATTTCAAATATTCCCAAGATATTGAAGATCAAATAAGTTACCTCTAATGATAATTAATTAAAGTTGGTTCCATGATTCCACGTGTATGATAAATATTTTGTTAAATATAATCCTTTTGATTAGGATAAATGTGAATTGTTAATAATATTCTTTTTTTTTTTGATATATTTCAAACTCCACCTACTATCATCCAATTTAGAATTTAAGTCTCCCTCCACTTTCATTAATTATTCTAGTCATCAAATTCACGACTAGATTGCATGGGTAGAAATGGTTAACTATTGTGATTAGGATACTTCTAATTAAGCAAAATCTTAATTAAAATAAAGATATCAAGAAATTCGCACGGTACTTGAGGATTCTTTTTTCCAAAATTCCTTTCATGTCCTTAAATCTCTACAGGATAGAGATAACTTTTTTATAATCATTCCTATCCAATTTTCTTGCTTGTGGGACACGTTTCTCCAATCCTAAGTACAATAGAATTTGATTTTGTGTGTGTGTATATATATATACTAGGTGCAAGCAACGTGCAATGCACGTTTGCCTAGTTTATATTTAATAGTTTTGTTTAATAAATAATTTGTTATTAATAAAGATGTAATTTTTTTGGTTAATTAAATAATTAATGATATAATGTTTATGTAATTGTTAAATAATTAGGTGTGATTTTGATGTTATGATGTAAGTTGGTGAGATCGAAGAAAATAAGTAAAAACTGACAAATTTGAAGAAATGGCTAAATCGTAAGGGATCCAAAGTTCGAGGACTAAAATATAAATACTTAAAAATTGTGCCGAACCTCACGATGAAGATTTGAGAGTGCTCGGAGTCAATTGGATAAAGAAAGACGTCAATGGAATCAAATTTAGTCAAAAGATGATCACAAATCAATTTCCAACCGAAAAGTTATGCTCTGATGTTTTAGTCTCATACTGAGACCTATTTTTGGCATAGAAAGTGGTCGAATTGAAGAATGATGTCTGAATCAAAGTTGTAGTCAGATGAGTTAGCTTTCCAACACATTTTGAATCGCATCAATCGGATATCAGAATACAAAGTTATAATAAAAACACTGAAGGAAGGTGCAACTGCCTGTTTAAAACAAGAAATTCCGTTACATAATCCGTTAAAACAACAAATTCCGTTAGTTTTTCCGTTAAAAATAAGAAATTCCGTTACATAGCCACTTTTAATATATAGAAGATATATATATATCAGTGTTCTAAAATGCGTAATGCATGGCGATGCGTGGAGACCAAGCACGGGGCTAGACGAGCTTAGGGAGGCATATGCGTAAAAAAGCGTAAAAAAGCGTTTTCTTATTTTAAAGTTTCTGCTTTAATGTTTTGGGTTGAATTAATTTGGATATTATACTTAGATTTATTCAAGTTTTAATCTTCAATTAAATATTTTCGCTTTATGTATGATTATGAAATGATATCGTTAACACCTCAAAATTTAAATCAATAAAATTTGGGACGTTACACAGAGGCCTAGAGGCCAGAGGTAAAGATTTCTTTTTCTTCTCATTTTCTTTTTTTTCTCTTCTGTTTTTTAATACTGCTTTTTTAAGTAGATATTCATTTTATTTTTGCATGTTCTTGAGATCTTTTCTATCCTATAATTTTATTTCTCCCTTTTAATCTCCCTATCATTCAATCCCAAGAAAGACATTTTTTTCTTAGTAAAAAGGAAAAAGAACCCTAATGGATGACCTTTAATCAAAACTGTCAACCAGTTTAGGTGTAGGAAGAACTAATTTTAGACTCTAAAATGGGAAAAATGATCATATGGCAATGTTTCAGAGGAATACCTCTTATTTATATGCAAGATGCACTGAGATACAAAAAGGAACGTCCTCAAAGGGAGTGAAGAAGATCCAAAACAGATTTTCTGTCAGGCATGCTTGGAATGGCTCCCTCTACTTGAATACAAAGTGAAGCAGCTGCAGCTGAAACGCATTAAGAATTTGTGAGACAGCCGATCTTATTATAAAATGGGAGGAAAAGATTACCATGCATACCAGCAAATCTCAAGCATTCCTTTTTGGATTTTCCCTCTACAAGAGCCACAGCAAAAGAAGAAGTGAAAGTATCACCAGCTCCAGTGGTATCAATTACTTTTGGAGCTGATATGACCGGTTGTTTAATTGGTTCCTCTCCTTCGGTGAAAAGAACAGACCCTTTATCTCCAAGTTTCACAAGAACTTGCTTAACACCCTGAAGAAATAGGAATATCTATAGTCTATAACTTGAACAGCAAAAGTGAGGGGGGGAAACACAAAGAGATACTCAAATTGATAGCACCACTCCATAATTAGCTGTTACTAATAACTCGAGTACAACTGTCACTCACCATTTTATGGCATTTTCCCACAGCTTGACTGATCTGTTCAAAAGTTCCTGTTGGCATGTTAGTCAGACGAGCAAGCTCAGTCTCAGTTGGGCTCAAAATATCGACAAAACTAAGTAGCTCTATAGTGATTGGTGCATCAACTCCGCCAGCATCCAAGATGACTGGGACAAGTGCACTCCTAGCAACATAAAGATAAAGAAATGGTTACAGTCTACAGAAGCACATAACTGATGAAGTTTCTTTGGATCTTAATAACTCGAGTATGTAAGATATAAGGGCAAAAAAAGAAGCAAAGGTCGTTGCAATTTGACGACAAAAGCAATCATGAGTTCAGAATTCCAAAATGCCACCAAATATTCAGGGATACTCTTCAAAAACATGTCTAAAGCAGATAAAAGAGAATAATGCAGGTGATTGACAAAGCATCACACGTAGAAAAGGGAATGAAAGCTGAAATATATTTGGTTCCTTTATTTTTCTGTTATTTTTATGCAACCCCTAAACCAGAGGCAGAATGGGACAATATGATTATTCTAAAGCCTGTCTTTAAAAATGTTCTGAGAAGCATGATGATTGGAGCCAAAGAATTGCACCAAACCCCAAAAATAAACCAAAATACAGGAGCACTACACTGAAATGCCTTCCTAAAAAAGAACAAATCCGTCTCTTTATTTAAAGTATCATTCAGTGATAATGCTGCACAACAATCCATCTTATGGCTTTCTGGTTTAAACCCACTCTGAAATTCAAAGGCTGTTCTTTATTGCAGAGTTTCAGTCTGAATGCATAAACTGACAAGAGGTAGATGACAAAACCCATCATATTTCCATTTCTATATGAGAAACTCTATTTTCCGGAGAAGAATTAATTTTCTTTTCTCCTTTTTCTGAAGATAGGAGAGAAATATTGCTTTAGGAGAATATAATAGATCTTATTCATTGCCACAAATAATTCTACAAGCAATATCTCTGTACTGTTCCCACAGTCTATGGCTATGAACTCCAAATGATAATTGCAAAATAGGATTTGTTTTTATTATGCGTAATCAGATATACTGCCACAAAGTAGGCAGCTCGTTGCCTTCTACAAAATAAGGTACACCAGTTTGAGCCTGAGGAAAAAATTCACATGTTTTCCATCATCAATATGTTTAGCACCATCCACAGAAGGGCTCACTTCCAAGGATAAGTCCAATGTATATTTTAGATCAGATAATGATTTAAAACAGCATCAGTTTTCCTTGACATTTTTTTTTTTAGCAAAATGCTCAAGCCTCCATTCTCTATGGTATTTTCTTCGCATAGTTGATGTTCTGTACTATCGCAGTTCTGCTGGGTGCTAAAAGATTGTGTACATTAATGATTGTAAACCCCTTCTAACGGATTCATCTTAGTCGATATCACAAGAGCCCAATTCACGGGCTTACCATCCGCACAATATATTTCCTCTCAGCTTAAAAAGCGTAGATATCCAGGCAGAAAAATGTCAGTTGATTGAGTATAAACTCAAGTCCTGACAAGTAAATATGTTGAGTAAACACAATTATTCAGCAACACTGACTTTGAATTCATTTCTCTTACAACTAATCATATATCCAACCCTAAAATGAAGAACACTATACACACATTGGTTTATAAGGAGGTTTATATTTATTACACAACAGGAAAATCATCAATCGATATAAAGATCCCTCTTTTATATCTTATCTACTAATTCAAACTTCAAGCATTGTAATAGAACACTTAAAATCAAAAAACAAAGTGTTAAGGGATATATCCCACATTGGTTTAATACTGAAATATAGACCAATAACTCCTCTCAAGATGATTGACTTTTCATAATGAACCTGAAGTTTCAATGCAAATCCTACTAAGCTCAAACAAGTAACAAGCACATGGATTTCAAGATTGATGTTCTCAAATGAGCTAATCATCTTTTGGAGCATGTTAAGGATAAATTCAAAAGGTTGACCTCTTAAAATGGGACCTAAGTCTCGATACAATTGAGATGAGCCTAACCTTTGCAACCTGGATATTTACAGAATCAGGGATCTCCCTCTGAAGCAAAACAATCCCAGTATTCTTAACAACCTCCAGATCCTCCTCAGGCAAAGTCTCAGGCCAAAAAGACATATTAGCATCCCCAACAATAATGATAGAATTCTGCCCACCAGCTTGCAGCATAACCACAGCATGCCCAGTGGGAACATCATCCAATCTACTCAAATAATCAAGGAACACTCCACCACCCTCAAGTGCCTCAGCGATCAACTTCCCATGAGCATCATCCCCCACTTGCCCCAAAAAGTAAGTTGGATACGCCAATTTTCCCCCACACACTGCCTGATTGGCTCCTTTACCACCTGCCAATGTTTGCCCAGTTTTAGCAGATATAGTCTCACCTTCCTTAGGCAATCTGTCAATCTCCACATATATATCTGCATTGGCTGATCCCACCACCACCAGAGGCGGCATAGACTCCCTCGAAGCATCCAAAGCAAAATAAGAAAATGGGTTCTCTTTTCTTGATGATCTGAAAGTGGGATTGAACTGGACTGAGGAAATTTTGTCTTTGGACTGGTCTAAGAATCTTGAATTATTTTGGGATGCTAATGTTGGAAGATTGTGCCAGTGTTTTGGGGGTGAAAGAGTTGATATTCCTCCCATGCTTTTTATAGTAACAGTAAGATTCTGCTTCGCCTTTTCTTCTTCTTTAGTAGTGGGTTTTTCTTGCTGAGATTGATGAAGAAAAGAAGAGTAATGGTATGTTTGGGACAAATTCTTTTGAAAGAATGTATTATTGTATAGTAGATTGATGGAGAATATGTGGTTAAAAATGAAGGAAAAAATATTGATGTGATGGAAAATATTATTTTATTGAAAAATGTGTGGTTGAAAATGAGTAGAAGAATGAGAATGAAAAAAATAAGTGGAAATTACATGGAGCCCTACTTTTCAAGATCCAA